CAGGCTGCGGTGCATGCCGGTCTGTTGTTAGGAAGCACAGCCTCCCCATGTCACCCCGAGCTGTGACTATGGAAACATGGCCTGTTTGCCAGTCTAGACAGTAGCTCCTCACTCCCCCCGCCCGCAGCCTTGCTTCAGACACAGTGTCAAGCGCAGGCAGGTCCCGCCCCAGGCCCACCTGCCCTAGTGTATGGATGGGAGGCCCTGGGGCTGTCACTGGAGTCTGGGAGGATGCAGGCAGAAGAGCAGAGGAGGAAGCCTGGCGGGCAGGGGGCGGGGCGCTGCTTCCCAAAAAACCAAAGAGCAGAAAAAGACAGGGAGAGCGGGAGCAGGAGACCTGTTTCCCCTCCTCTCACCCCGCCTGGCGGCACAGGACATCACTGGATGCATGTTCCCATTCTTTCATCAACAGGGAAGCCGGAGCCCAGGGAGCAAAAGGGATCTGCCCCAGGTCACCCAAAAATTTGGCAGCCCTGTTAGAATTACTAATGGGGCTTCTGAAAAGCAGAAGAATCCTCCCAAAACTGCTAGCTGGGTGTCCCCTGGCTCCAGCTGCCAGGCTAGGGGAGGCGGAGGGGCCACACTGCCTGGATTTGCCCTGCTGGGACAGCTGCATCCGGGAGGTACCTGATCAAGAGGGCACAAAAAACCAAAGAGTGGGAGTCGCTGCCTGTGACCTCCTCCTGGGAGTTTTAACCCTTGAATCCCCTCCCCCTAAGCGTCCAGGGAATCCAAGCTTCAGGCCAGGCTGCCTCTCACGCTCCCTCCCTCACAGCTGCAGCTGGGCCGGGTGGGAAAGGGAGATGGGGACACCTGGGCCCCCTCCACCATGACTCAGCCCTTTCCCTCTTTAAGTGGCCCCAGGTCCCTATGGGAACCAAGAAGTGGCCAGGGGCCATTCCACGGTAGCCCCAGCTGCTCCGAGATTGGACACCTCCCACCCCTCAGCTCTAAAGGGGCCTGTGCCCCCCTTAGGGAAGTGGAAGGTTGGGACTCTCACACCTGGGCTGGCCGGCACCTCCCCCACTGCCCAGCCTGAGAGCCCGGGCCCCAGGGGGCTGCAGCAAGGACAGAAATAGCCCCGATTTCCCAGGCTCTTTTTTGGTCTCCAGTCTGTTCCGGTAGGGGCTGGGAAGAGCTAGGATCGTGCCCCCCCCCCGACACACACACACACTGGGTGGGACAGAAGCCAGAGGGTCCACTGGAGGCAGCAAGAGGCTCCAAGGAAGAGATGGTCACTGAGGCCCGGAAGTGGG